GCCGAATACCTCAAGCGTGTGACGGAAATGTTACGCCCTTTACCATACTGTGAAGGCGTGTCCCGGCTGGAGTGACGAGACAAAAACATTAAACCCCATTATAAACGAGGCATTTGTTGCATCCAGTGGGGACATAATTACGGATTATAATGACTTATACGGCCTTTTTACGCGTTGCGTGGCATCACGCCGCGTAAACATAAAACCATATCTGCATTCGTGATCGGAGAAATGACAAACAACAAGTGCTACTCTACACTGCTCAAAACTCGCGTTTGAATTATCAGTGGCAAATCCTTTAAATATGAAAACGTACTTACAGTCTGTGAGTCAGAACAGCCGGCATTGTATTTTACTCTCCCAGGATCAGGAAACAGTCCTCAATAAAATGCTTGGCACACATCTGAATATTTGGGTTGAACTGTTCTGGAACAGTGTTGTAAATACAACTTAACCACTGATTTCTAGTCGTGTCCTCTTTTTGAAGGCCAAACAAAGTAGTTTTGTTTTCACAACGAAACGCACGGCGGGCTTGAGTAAGCGGCGTAACCACATGTGACGACCCTGGGCTGGACTCCGCTTCGTCCACGGTGAAAGCCGATCCGGCGATCCACAGCGCGAAGTTGATGTATTTCCTCAGCGACCAGCACAGATCAGCTCCAGGCATGACGAAGCGGATATCGTACTCTTTTGGAAGGCCAACCAAAGTAGTTTCGCTTTCACAACGAAACACACAGCGCCTTCACGACATGGCGGCGGCAACAACACTACAGCAAGAATAAAAGTTACGCCTTCTTTCTTTGCGTGAACATTTGGGCGGCGTTATGCAAATCTTCCCACATCGTGATGTAGACATGTGGGGGCGTGTTAGAACGAGCCGTTTTAGGTAGGCGTGGTTGACTCTTAACTTTCATAAAGAATATCTCTTTGGATTTGAGACTTCAGTCTTTGCAACTTTACAGATCTTCTTTATGCACCAAGAGCTTGTAACACTTCAAAGAGAAAGGAAAAATTGAAATCGCATCATATGACCCCTTTAAAACCATAGTCCTGCCGAAGATTAGCTCCGATATCTAACATCCTCAACCATAAAATTATTTAAACAACTTTCAAATAGCTCAATACAGGTTTTGGACAAAAAAAAAAGTTTTATAAAATAAACAACATGGCCTTTTAATTGTTTAAGGAAAGGAATGAGTCAATATTCTAGATTATGATTTTTGGAATTCACATTAGCTTCTTTTCAATCAACCGATTACCAAATAACCATCTCCTGAGTTGAATGAATCAACATGAGCAGTAAATTTGAGTTTGCAGGGTACCTTGCCATTGTGACAGTTCCTACTTTTTTTCAGGTGTTGCCAAAAATTTAGCTGAACTCTACAGAAAAATAAATTACGAAGTGATTAGCCTGACTGAGAACCAAAAAAGGCACCCAATGATTAATTGAAATCAAACGAATCATGTAGCTGAACTATCAAGGAATTTAACGATTAAAAATCTTGATTCTCCTCTAACACAAGCTAAAAAATTGTTCAGTACTAAAAAAGCACAGCCGTTAGGTTTTGAGGTTATCTGTGTGCTTGAGACCACCTGAGGGTGGGGAGATCTTTGAGTTCTCCTGAGGGCTGAGGCAACGTCATTATAGGCTCTTGCCTCACCAGAGTGTGGACCGGCCAATCAGCTCGCCCTGCATCACATCTCACCAGGACACTGACGGCTGATTGGCTTAAACTCAGCGAGGCCCCAGACAGACCTGCAGGGATTAAACGGGTTTTACACACACACACAGACACAGACAGACAGACAGACAGACAGACAGACAGACAGACAGACAGACAGACAGACACACACAGAGTTAATCTCAGAGCGCTAACTGTGTTACTCCTCCCCTCGTGCTTATCTTGAATAGTAACCCTGTCTCATGCACATGATGCCATATCAGCCCATGGGTTTGTCAGTCATCAGCGCTCAGCATGATTGGAACGTTCCAACCCTGTTGTACACAGTACAGTGAGTTCATAGGATGAGATACTGTAGGTTATTGCATTGTACAGCAAGATATTCCTCCTGTATGAACCTCAACAACACAGAAAATAATCCTTAAATGAGATTAACAAACTATAGGCAAGAACATCAAATGAAAAAGTGATTTTTTTTTCATAAAATTTGGTTCCATTAATAAATTGGTAATACTACATACATTTAGAAAGAAGTCATTTACAAAACTTTTCTTTCCGAAAAGCTTTCAACATTTGTAGATCAATCTCAAAATAAAACCAGAAAGTTCAGAAAGTTTCTTGTTCCTGCTGTCATGAGCAAAGAGTTTCACACCATTAAACTAAATAAAAGTGCTCGAAGCAGAACTGCAGCTGCAAATCTGTAGTGGCAGCCAGGCAAGTAATGCAATGAATTCATAACTTGCACCTTACACACATCAAATTAGGCGTTCTGAACTCAAGTATTAGTATGGAAAGACTATAATGGGATTATGAAACAAAAAAATAAGATTGTTTAGTGCAAACAATGTTACAGAAAATATATTGAACATATTATGATGCATACTTAAATGAATGGTGGTGTCTTACATGTGCATTTCATTTATCTAAGAAATCATGACCTCGAGGCCTTTTTTAAAAGGATAGTTCACTCAAAAATAAAAATCATTTACTTTACTTGTTCCAAACCTGAATGACTTTCAAAAGAACACAAAAAATATTTTAAAGAATGTTGGTAACCAAGCAGATTTGGTTACCATTGACATCCACTGTACGGAGAAAAACATTTTCTTTTGTGTTCTACAGAAGTCAGTCAGTCATACAGGTTTGGAACAACATGAGGATGAGGAAAAATGGTCATTTTGCATGAACTACCCTTTAAGACTAGTGATAGTTAAAAATGTGCTTAATATATTAACTGCTCCATATAGTGAATTGGACCACAAAAAGTGACAAAAAAAACCCCCTGTGAAATTCTATTACAATTCCCTTTCTTTCATAAGCATAGATGGCACAACTGCAGTAATTCTACATAAATTGTGTAGATGGAAGCCCAACAGGTAGTGATGAACCAATTCTTTAAGAAGTGGATTGACATTGTTGAAACTGCCATTTAAGGGTCCCAAAAAGTCGCAAATAAAGTGACAACTTTAAAACAAGAAAAAAATGAAAAGAAAAGAAATACAAGACAAAAAAAGAAAGGCAATTGTGGTCCAATACAAGTCATTACCAACTTTTCACGTCTACCAAAATACCCTCTCTACTTTGATTATCGTCTTATACAAGCACTTCCCAATAAATGTACACTTTGCCTAAAGCCACATTAATGAATTACAATGATCAAAATGTATAATGCCTTCATATGTAAATAATCTTAAACATTTAGATACTAACTGTACAAAAGATCTGAAGTTCCTGACATCCTACTGATCATTGGGGCTAGAAAAGGGTCTTCCTAAAACAAATGGCCAGTGAGAAAGCTCACGTACAGCTGAGAAGATGCTGGGATTAGATCAAGGCATCAAGTTTACAGCATATGTATATCTCATCAAGGCCATAGTCAGACCTCAAACTCTGATCAAATATTTACAAAAATGTAAATTACTTTAATAAAACCTGAGCCATAGCTCATTTACAGAAAAACAAGTAAGGCCTTCTGAAGATGAACAGGCTGTGTTGGTTATTCTAGTGTGTTTGCACTCTTCAAAGGTGCTTTTACAGACTTTGTACCATTTTTGGTTTTGGTGTAGCGCCTGTATGGATACGGGTTTAAAAGGTTTCAGAAGAGTGTCAAGAGCACTTGGGCAGAGCAGCTCTCTCTGATGGTAGAGCATTGTGAATAAGGCGTTTCTTCATTTGAGTCAGAAAGCAAACTGGGAATGTAGATTAAACAACCTGGAGAAAGAGAAGACCAGATTTTGAATAAATGTACAATGCGATGTGATTTATAGGTGGGAAACAGGCGCTTTTTTAAAGGTGCAAGTTACCTGGTGTTGTTCAGAAGAGAATAGCCTCACCACTGGTCTTCTCTTGAACATATGAGGTGAAGCGTTTAAGGAACTTGGGGTATTCTCTCTTGGCTACAGCTCGCAGGACTGATGCAGGAGCCCAACCTCCAGGATTTACTTAAAGATTACATGAACACAGCATTAATGCGACATATTTTACATCATGTATACAAAAATAAAGATTGCAATCCAAACTCTGATGTACTCTGTGTGTATGACTTATTTATTTTTTCATTTTTAAACAGCCCATTCCCCCAAAATGTATATACCTGGAAACTGAAAATGTATAATAACAATTTATAATAAAATATTGACAGTCATGGTTTGTTGATGTACCTACTGTCTGACGCTAACAAAAAGTGCTCCAGTGCCAAACAGTTGCTATAGTTACCTCTTCAGAATCTCATCATTCAGAATTTATGAGGTCTTTTTAGTGTCAAGTACAAACTAACATTTAATGTAACTTTTGTGGTCACGGAGACATTTGAAATATAAAATATATAGCTTTAATATTTGTAAAAATACACTACTGTTCAAAAGTTTGGGCAAAATATTTAGATGTTTTTGGAAGAAGTCAATTATGCTCATAAAGGCTGCATTTAATTTAAACAAATACAGTAAAAACAGCAATATTGAAAAATATTACAATTTAAAACAGTTTCTATTTTTAATGTTTTAAAATGTAAAGCTGAATTTTAGCAGCCATTACTCCATCATCAGTGTCACATGATACTTCAGAAATCATTCTAAAATGCTGATTTGCTGCTCAAGAAACATTTCTTAGTTTTATCAATGTTGAACACAGTTTTGCTGCTTAGTATTTTTGTGGATGTCATTCATTTTTTTCAGGATTCTTTGATGAATAGAATGTTCAAACAGCACGAACAGCATTTATTTGAAACATAAATCTTTTGTAACATTATAAAGAATTTAATTTGATCAATTAAATTCCTCGTTGCTGAATACAAGTACTAATTAGTTTCAGAAACACAAATCTTACTGAGACCAAACTTTGCATGTGCTTTAAGAACCCCATCTAACCTTTAGTTTGAATTTTTTTGGGGGGTTTGAAACTTTAATTAGGAGGGTCAGACACCCCCAACACTTACCATTGGCTACATATGTGATTTTACAGAGGATGTTGTCTCTGGTGATCTCTTTGTCTCCCTCTGGTGGGCTGATTAGTGTTTGACAGATCATGGCTACATTGATTTTGGCACGAATGCATCTAGCAGAAGGCTGGAGAAAACAAACAAACAAAAAATCCTGTAACACAGCTTTCTGATGCACAGCTTACTGTATACTGCTAATGTTGAATAATATGCCTTTATATGCTTCTAGGTTTCCAATAACCTGCATTTATGATATCAAATTGCACGAAGAGGCAACTTTTAACAAGATACTAACTGGATAGCCGTCATGATCCACTGAGAAGTTGCACACCAGCCAGGTGTCTGGATCATTCTCATTAGTGGAGAGAATTTTTCGGATGACTGATATGTAAAGCACATCTCTCTGGGAAGCAGGCCACACCCTCTGCAACAGAGAAGTGAGAAAAAAACCTGAGATCTAAAGATTTCAGAAACAACCAACACCCATGATGCAATAATGAATGTTATACCTTATGTGTCTGATGAATGATGACCGCTTTATCTGAGAGTGTCTCAACCACTTGAAAGCTTTCAACAGTTGCTATAAATAAATAAGGTGTTTTTACATACTTTTCCATGACAGCATTTTCTTAAGTTTTCCATTTTCTCCTCTTGAATCATAGACATGCATATTTTAAAACATACATTCTCAAAATATAACATTAGAAAATCAAAAAGGCAAAACGATGTACTAAGGTGAACATACTTTCCCAGTCGTTCCGAAAAGCTGTGTCCCAAAAGTAGTGGCAGACCTCGTGACCTGTGACCCCTCTGACAGCATGCGTAGCTTTGAAAGGATCCAGAACGATGCCGTTCTCCTCCACTTCTCTCCTGTACACCTGCAAAAACAATTGTTCTAACATATTAATTTCATTCGGAGTTTTAATAATGAAAGAACTATAAATAGACCAAACAGTGGTTTGAATGACAGCAACCTCTAGGGGAAAGAGAGCAAGATCACTTGGAAAGGGTTAAATGGGATAATTCACTGAACAAAATGCAAATATCCCAAACTATAACCGAGGAAGATTTAGACTGGTGTCAAGGTTCTTTTGCATTTTCTTCTGTTTTGTGACTGAACCAGAAACTACCCAGGACAAATATATATATACACACACACGTGTATGTATGCGTGTATGTACGCGTGTGTGTGTGTGTATGTATATATATGTATATACAGTGGTGTGAAAAAGTGTTGGCCCCCTCCTGATTTCTTATTTTTTTTGCATGTTTGTCACACTTTAATGTTTCAGATCATCAAACAAATTTAAATATTAGTAAAAGATAACAAGTGAACACAACATGCAGTTTTTAAATGAAGGTTTTTATTATTAAGGGAAAACAAAATCCAAAACTACATGGCCCTGTGTGAAAAAGTGTTTGCCCCCTAAACCTAATAACTGGTTGGGCCACCCTTAGCAGCAACAACTGCAATCAAGCGTTTGCGATAACTTGCAATGAGTCTGTTACAGCGCTGTGGAGGAATTTTGGTCCACTCATCTATGCAGAATTGTTGTAATTCAGCCACATTGGACGGTTTTCGAGCATGCCACAACATCTCAATAGGATTCAGGTCAGGACTTTGACTAGGCCACTCCAAAGTCTTCATTTTGTTTTTCTTCAGCCATTCAGAGGTGGACTTGCTGGTGTGTTTTGGATCATTGTCCTGCTGCAGAACCCAAGTTCGCTTCAGCTTGAGGTCACGAACAGATGGCCGGACATTCTCCTTCAGGATTTTTTGGTAAACAGCAGAATTCATGGTTCCATTTATCACAAGCAAGTCTTCCAGGTCCTGAAGCAGCAAAACAGCCCCAGACCATCACACTACCACCACCATATTTTACTGTTGGTATGATGTTCTTTTTCTGAAATGCAGTGTTACTTTTACGCCAGACGTAATGGGACACACACCTTCCAAAAAGTTCAACTTTTGTCTCGTCAGTCCACAGAGTATTTTCCCAAAAGTCTTGGGGATAATCAAGATGTTTTCTGGCAAAACTGAGACGAGCCTTTATGTTCTTTTTGCTCAGCAGCGGTTTTCGTCTCGGAACTCTGCCATGCAGACCATTTTTGCCCAGTCTCTGTCTTATGGTGGAGTCATGAACACTGACCTTAACTGAGGCAAGTGAGGCCTGCAGTTCTTTGGATGTTGTTGTGGGGTCTT